GCTTTTCTGGGTAGAAATGGCTTTCTACCCGGAAAAGCTCACCGGAAGCGCTGGCGCCGCCATCTTTTTTTGATGAAAAAGTGCTTCCGGTGAGGTCACCGGAAGCACTTTTTCATCAAAAAAAGATGGCGGCGCCCAGCTGATGCCGGTACTGGGCTGCGGCGCCCAGCTGATGCCGGTACCGGGCCGCGGAGCCCAGCTGATGCCGGTACCGGGCCGCGGTGTAAAAAAGGTTGGGGATCACTGGTGTAGGGTATTCTATTGTGAGCAGAGGAGTGTAGTACTCTTCTCGTGAAATACTTCTGGACTTGCTTAATTTTATTAATGTTTGATATGCAATGTAGATTCCAGACAGATGAGCTGTATTCGAGTGTTTGTGTAGCAAAGGTTGTCTATTTATATCTATCTATATTGTCTATTCCCTAGTTAGCAATTCAATATTATCAGAGGAGAAGCTTCATAAGATTAGATTTAGAACTCTTAATTCCTTTTTGGCAATGCTGTTACAGTGAGCTCTGGCACTTAGGTCATTTGATATGAGTACTCCAAGGTCCTTCACAGAGTGAGGGTCATCAACGAGGTCATATCCGCAAATAAGGAGAAATTTTCTGACAGAACAATCAACCAATGGAACAGCTTGCCTTCGGAAGTTGTGGGAGCTTCATCATTTGAGACTTTCAGGAAGAGATTGGACTGCCATTTGTCAGAAATGGTGTAAGGTCTCCTGCTTGGGCGGAGGGTTGGACTAGATGACCTATAAGGTCTCTTCCAACTCTGTGAATCTGTAATTTACAGTCATAAGTTAAGGACTATCTGTAGCCAACATTTTAGAAGATAGTCTCAAAATATAGAAACAGACATGAACACTTCAACAAAATGCAACTGAATCCTAAGAAAAGTAAGGACTTAGGCAAAATAAATCAAAAGGCACTGATTTGAATAGGTGGTACTTGACTCAACAACAGTAATTGTGCAAAGGATATAGATATTTTAGTGGACAGCCACTAAGTATGAGCCAGCAGCATGTTTCAGCTGTCAAAAAAAGAGTTCAATCCTAGGCTGCATCAATAGCAGGATAAATATGAAGATCTCACAAAGTAATAGAACCATGTTATACTGTACTGATAAGACCATACTTGAAATACAGCATCCAGTTCTGCTCACCATGATACAAAAAGATGCTGAGATTCTAGAAAAAGTTGAGAAAGGAGCAACAAAGATGATTAAGAAATTGGAGGCTATGCCATACAATGATTGGTTGTGGGAACTGGATACATCTAGTTTAACAAAGAAGCACTGGGGTGACATGATAGCAGTCTTCCAATATTTGAGGGACTATCTCGGGGGAGGGCGGAGTTAACCTATTCTCCAAAGCATCTGGAGACAGGAGAAGAAGTAATTTATCAAAGACAGATCCAACCCAGAATTAAGGAGAGGTGTCTTTACAGTGAAAACAATCATTGGAACAGATTGCCTGAAGAAATTGTCCATGTCCATCACTAGAGGCTTTCAGGAAGAGATTGAACAGCCATTTGTCCAAAACTATATAGGGTCTCCAAGGTCACTTCCAACTCCATTGTTCTAAGTTGCTCTCTATCCTCTCATCTAGATCATTGATAACAATATTGAAGAGCACTGGGCCCAAAACAGAACCTTGAAGTACCCCACATCCATTAGATGTAGTTCCATTGAGTGTGATTGGTCAGCCAACTGTGAATCCCTCTGGTGGTGGTATTATCTACTCCAGATTATTCCATTTTACCAGGAAGTTGGCTGTGATCTACTTTGTCAAATGCCTTACTGAAGTTCAAGAAAACTATATCCATAGCATTTCCTGATCCATTAATTTAGCCACTTTATCAAAGAAGGCAGTAAGGTTTATCTGGCACCATCTGTTTTTAACAAACTCATGTTGGCTTCTAATCACCTTGTTCATTTGTAGGTGCTCACAAATCTACTGCTTGATTATCTTTTCAGAATTTTCCCATATTGGTATCAACCTGATTGGTTTCCTGAATCCACCTTTACTTTTTCTTGAACACTTGGAATTGCATCAATTCTTTTCCAGTCCTCTGGCACTTTCCCCATGTTGCAGGAAGTTTGAAAGATTTTGTTCAGTGGTTCTGAGCTCGCATCTGCCAGTTCTTGAGTACCTTGGAATGTAAATCATCTGGTCCTAGTGATGATTTACCCTCATCTAAAGTGGATAGGTTGTGTTTTATCAATTTCTTGCCTACTTTGACTACATTCCTGTTTTGTTTCGCACAGTGCTGCTGTTCATAGGTTGGGTTGTTGTTGTTTTTCCTTTTGCATGAAGAGTGATGGAAAGAAGTAATTAAGCAATTCTGCTTTCTCTCTGCTGCCAGTTACCTTCTTGCTACCCTGTTTCTCCAACAATACGGCCTCCCCCAATAGGAAGTCCCAGCATGTTTTATAGGCATGAAATGAAATTAAGCCCCTCCCCCCAAATTAAGGTCTATGTTAAAACATGCGAAATGGGGGGAATGGTGGGGGGCTTGCCGTTAGGACGTACTTTTGTTGCACACCTGGATATGGTGCTGCCTGCGTTGACCCTGATACGAAGTGCCCCACCAACGCCAAGGTCAACATCCAAGCCATCACCGCCCACCCGAAGATGCAAGGGGGGGAATTAAGTCACCCCTGAAAAGACAGCCTAGCCATTTTTTCGGGGCTCAAAAAAAAAATAAGACCCGGCCTTATTATATGAGAAACACGGTATTTTCTCCCAACCATTTCCTTGACATTTTTGTCCCTTAAAATATTGAAAGGAACTTTTTGTTGTTGTTATTTTTGTCATTTTTTACAAGCCTTAATCATTCTGAGCCTTAGCCTTCATGCTTGCAGATTTGGGCCACAGGTGGTCCTCGACTTATGACCATAATTAAGCCTCAAATTTCCATTTTTAGGCAAGGCAGTTGTTAAGTAGTTCAGCCTCATTTTACGACCTTTGTTGCCACAGTTATTAAGGGAATCATTGTGTTGTTAATAATACAGTTGTTAAATGAATCTGTCTTTGCTTGTCAAGTCACAAAAGGTGATTACATGACCATGGGATCCTGCAACCATTATAAATATGAGCCAGTTGCCAAGCATACAAATTTTGATCATGTAATGCAACTACGGATGTACAAATGGAGATGGTACTATAGTTGTATAAAAAAACAGTCATAAGCCACTTTTTTCAGTGCCAGTATAACTTTTAAACAGTCAGTAAACAAATAGTTGTAAGTTGAAGACTACCTATATTTGTTGGTATTCTGTTGTTATACTTATCCTTTTTGTCCTTCAGTTTGTCAGAACTCTTTGTGCAACCATGCTGGGCTCATCTGGTATATTTTGTTTTTCTTTCTCTTTGATGTTGTTTTTATTTGGGCCTTAAGTTTATTTTGATAGAAACATCCTTTACCTGAAAAGAATTATTCACTGTTAAGTGAAAGCCCCTGTTCATAAGATTTAATTGATGCTTTAAAAAAACATTTTCCATGTTTTTATTTTTTTTGTTAATGACAGGAGATTGCAGAACCACTTTTGGACCTAAAGGAAGGAATGGACCAGTTAGAGAACAATGCTACCTTTGGATTTATTCTTTCTGCTCTCTTAGCTATTGGAAATTTTCTCAATGGAACCAATGTGAGTAGCATTGAATTGAAAAATATTTATAATGATGTATTTACCAAAACTCATTAAAAATACATATCAGTTAAAAAAGTCACCTCAAACATTAACAGCATTATTTGTCATCATGTGCTTTTTTATCTTCCTTGTGGCCATTGCAAACAATACAACTTCTTTTGTTACATGTTCATCTTCATCAGACAACAGAAAATATGTTTTCTTCCAAACTAGACTGAGTTAGTTGAATTAACAAGGGTACAGTGAATCTAGCTCTAGGTTCCTGATAAAGTTTGCCATGGTCAAGATCTTCCATCTGTAAATTATTACAAATGCATAAACTGTGCTACTTGGTAATCTTTTTGTATCTTTCATCCAAATAGGCTATTATCATTATTTGGAAGCAAAGTTCTGTAAAGACTTGTCTCAGAGAATGGGATGTAAGAAACTGTAAATAATACAACATTCCTAGTTCTTCTTTAAAAAATCGGTACAACTTAGCCAAATTAAGCTTTCATATTTGCTCTCTATTTTGCCTAAAATCTTTTTAAGAAAAGTAGTAATTCAATAGTGTATGATGAATATAGAGTAAATCTGACTATTAACTAATTTTTATTAACCAATATTTTCATAATCCTACAATGGCAAGTGAAAATAAATGCAAATATGATAAGGAAGCAAACCCAAATAGACCACACACACCCCACAACAAAAAAATTATATTTGTTTTGCTTTTTCTTCCCTCTTTCTCTCTCTGTCTTGGGCTTTTGTTCAGCTGTTTAAGATTGTGGGATGTGGCATAAAAAGATAGTGGTGCCTTTCATCCTGAAGTCAGTACAGGCCTTTACTTCAGCTAATCAGTCTTTAAGTCAAAGCCAGGAACTTTTATCTGCTTTAGTGGAGGCTATTAATTGACACAGAGCAATTGGCAACTGCCACAGTGAGGTTCCCAAATGAAGCACTTTTCCATTTAGTACTTCTGAAAAAGCTTCTATTTGGATGGAAAATTGGAAGTTATAAGCAGAAGAGCTATCTAAAGTATGGCTGGGATAAAATGAAGAGTGGATATGTTCAAACATTTCAGGTTCAAGGCCACACCATGTGGCGAAAATTATGAAGCATATTTACTTCTTCACTCCTACTGCATGCACAGATAGTCACCTATCAGCATTTTTTAAAGATTCCTTAAATAAGAAAAACTGGCCAGAAGATTAAGTTTGTTTTAGTGGTGTATGCCATTTTTCTTTATATTTTTATTTAATATTTAATATTCCATTCGAAGTCATGTTTGAGTTGTATTGAGTTGTATGGAAATAAATTTTCTAAGTAATTAGAAAAGTAAATGATTTATTATTTATTTTAGTAATTAAACAAATAAACCAGAAGGATAATCATTGCTCAGAATTGGCTTGCCAAGTCCAGCTGAGATGATAGCAGATTTGTCTTGTGAAGTTATTTAGAACCAATTTGTCCCTATGGATCTTGAAAGAATTTGATAACCCTTTACTAGGAGGTTATACCCTGACCTACTTGGTTGATGAAAGCTATGGAAGGTGGCAGAAAGCTGAATAAAGGTGGAGGTGAAAACCTCTTTGAGTAAGGGGTTGAATGAAAAAGATAATAGTGCATCTCCTCCATAAAAACCCATACCTGAACCCAGCTGTTTTGGATCGGTTTCAACTAATCTCTAATTTTTCCATTCTTTAGAGAAAATTTCAGAATATTATAGATTTGCAGAAATGGAAATCTTTTAATGAAACAAATTTTTGTAGTCTATTTTCAGTCGTGATTCAGGCCTAATTATGGGATGAACTGCAAAGTCAACTTGTTGATATCCTTATTGGGATTGCAATAGCTGAATTGCACATTTCCTAGTCCTGGTGGGTTTTGGCTGTCTTTAGTGTCATGATTATGGTATCCTTTTAGGCCAACTAAGAAATAAAGATAGATGGACCATTCTATTCCATTAAAAAAAGTTAAAGAATTATTGATCCCTAAATCACAAGAGGTTTATAGGTGTTTCTAGATTGCAGCTTATCACTCTTTTCATTTAGGGGTCCTTGGTACTCTCTGAGCTTCCTTGTTTTCTTGCAAACATTTCATTATCTTAACTAGGTAACATTATCAGTGCTAGTTCAGACCAAGGACCAAGGATTTCCCTGAGCTTCAAATATTCTCCTTAATTGGGACTCTTTTCATTTTTTATTAATACTTGAAATAGAATGTATGGTCCTTATCATACATTAAATTAACATGACATTCCTTGTTTATTGATATTCTATAACATTAAAAAATGAATTATACTTCATACCCAAAATTTATTAAACTTTTGATATTATATTTTACCCCACCTACCCTATTTTCTAAAAAAATATAAATACTATATTCAGTGTTACAAGATTTACAATATTTTTTTCACTATAAGTAACACTTCCCCCCCCAAAAAAAGTGAGTGGAAATGCCTGTGCATCTTATAGAGCAAATATTGTGGTGGGGGAGGGGAGCTTGGTGCGACAGCACCGCCTATCACCATTGCCACCATTGGCCACCGCCAGGGAACACTGGAGCCCTTGGTGCCAAGCAGTTGATTGGCGGTTGGATCGGCCTGCTGGAATACCACTGATCAGCTGTTCTAGGTGGCGGGGATCGCCACTGCCGTTTGCTGATCGCCACCACCATCAATCACCGCTACCGCCACGGTGTCAATTAGCATGAGCAGCAACGATAGGCAGCAGTGGCAATCCCCACCACCTAGAACAGCTGGTCGGTGGTATTCCAGGAGACCGATCAAACCACCAATCAGCTGTTTGGCAGCGAAGACTCCATCATTCCCTGGTGGTGGCGGCAGCTCAGCTCAATTGACCGGTGGTGGGCGCAACAGAGTGGAGCCCTGATGAGCCACATGCTGAGCTGCGATAATGTGCTGAAGCAGACCAGGCTGTTTGTTGTTTACTGCAAGGACGCTAGCTAAATGAATACCAGATGGATGCCGGGAGGCAAAGGCAGGTTTTTTTTTTTTTTATTGTTTTCTTCCCCAAAAGTTAGGTGTGTCTTACGTTGTAAAAAATACGGTACTTTTCCCTTAATTCAGGATAAGGTTTGGATGACTGTAAAGGACCAAACTTCATTGAAATAAATTTTTGGAAAAAGCAGTGAAAAGTTTTATAACAAATAGTGCAAAATCATAATGGGAGAAAACCCCTGTTTTTTAAATTGCATTATGGCTAATACTCATTCTAGACTACATGTTTTCTCATTTAGCTTGATTTTTATTATAATTAATGCTCAATAGTTGAGGTGATATTTCTTGTTTAAAGTCACTCCAAATTAAATGCCACTATTTAAATATACTGTATGTGATTATTTACAAATATTTCAGATCAAATCTCAAGTATAAACCCCAAAATAATAAATCAGACAATGAGGAAGGGAATGGTGAGAAGAAAGGACACCTGAGCTATAAACAGGGAGAAAGAGCAGGGTCAGCCATAAAGAGTTCAGATATTTATAACTAATGCTCAGAGTTTGGTGAACAAACAGGAAGGACTTGAAATTCTATGTCAGACTCCAGTCCCGACAATGAATACATGAAAGTAGATGTGATAATGTGCAGTACAGAAAGTTGATGGGATAAAACCAGTGATTAGAACATATTGCTAGAAAGATATAAATTGTTCAAAAGAAACAGACTAACAGACGAGGAAGTGGAGTTTCAGTATATGTAAGGAATCATTACACCTCTACAGAAATACACAATAACAAGGATGAAAGTTCTCATGAATATATTTGGGTGAGTTAATACTTAAATTATTGTTATTGTTGTTGATGATAATGATGATGATGATGATTGACATTTCTGTAGGTGTATACTGTATGCCACCCAACCAGCCAGGGGAAGTAGATGAACATTTTGCTAGTCAGTTAAATAAGATGTGCAGGAAACACTGTAGTAATGGGGGCTTTTAACTACCCTGACAAAACCTGATAGACAAACTCTATAACAAGTGTAGAGTGTATAGCAATTCAAACAGGTTTGTAACATGCCTAGCTGACAACTTTGTAACTCAAAAGGTAGAGAAAGGAACTAGAGGGTCAGCTACACAGGAATTAATTCTTGCTGATAGGGATGAAATGATAGAAGGAGTCAAAGTTGTGGGAACTTTGGGGGAGAGTGACTATGTCATGCTAGGATTCAGTGCAGGCACAGGCAATTGAACAAAGTTAAACTAGTGTTCTAGACTTCAAGAGAGCTGATTTCAACAATAAGATTAAGAAGGATTCCAAGGAAATCCAAAATGGAAAAATAACTCAAGCTGCTTGGGAAACTCTAAAAAATAAATTATTACAGCCCAATCAAACACATAGCATGGAGAAAGAAAGAAAAAAAACGACCCCAGATGGCACTAGCATGGTTGCATAAAGATCTCTCTGGCAAAGTGAGGGGGAGAAAAGACAAGTTTAAAAATGGAAAGAATGACTCATAACTGAATATCAGCCAATTGCCCGAATCTGCAGTTATGAAGTAAGGAATGTTACGGCTCAGAATGAATTAAAACTTTCAAAAATAAGCAAAAAAAGTTTCAATATGTAATGAATAAGATGAAAGTCAAGGAAATGATCAGTCTACTAATGGGAGTAGATGGCAAGCACAACTGCTTAATTCCTTGCCTCTGTTTTCATGCAAAAAGACAATATAATCTAACTATCAAAAGAGGCGTGATGGGAGACAGAAAAAAGAACAAGTCAAAATAGGCAAGAAATTGGTAAAAGACAACCAATCCATTATAGATGAGTTAAAAGTTCCAGAACCAGATGGTTTACATTCCAGAATTCTGAAGGAGTTGGTCGATGTGATCTCAGAATCACTGAACAAAATTTTTCAGAGCTTCTGACGCATGGGGAAGTACCAGAGGACTGGAAAAGACCTGAAGGATTCCAGTCTTCAAGAAGGCCAAAAAAATGAATCCAGAAAATACAGACCAATTAGGTTGACATCAATACCTGGGAAAATCTGGAAAAAGAAGATCAAGCAGCAGATTTGTGAGTATCTAGAAATGAACAGGGCAGACATTAGAAGTCTCATGGCTTTGTTAATAACAGGTGATTCCAAACAAACTTTATTGCTTTCTTTGATAAAGTAACTAAATTACTGGATGAAGGAAATGCTATGGATATAGTTTACTTGGACCTCAGTAAAGCAAAGTAGACCACAGCCTACTTCTTGGTAAAATGGAATAATCTGAGATAGACAATACCACCACCGGATGGATTTGCAACTGGCTGACCGCATTCAACATGTAATCCTCAATGGAACCACTTCTACCTGGAGAGAAGCAAGCAGTGGGTACCTCAAGTTCTGTTTTTGGCCCAGTGCTCTTCAGCATCTAGATGAGGGAGTAGTAGAAATGCTCATTAGATTTGCAGATGACATGAAGCTGGGAGGAATTGCTAACACTTTGGAAGATAAACTCAAGATTGAGATAGATTTTGACAGACTAGGACAATGGGCCCTATCCAGTAAGATGCAGTTCCACAGTAAGAAAAGTAAGGCTTTGCTTTTAGGTAGGAAAAAAATCAAATGCACAGATATAGAATATGTGGTGTCTGGCTCAACAGTAGTAACTGTGACATGAATCTAGGTTTCTTAGTGCAGAACTACCTAAGTATGAACCAACAGTATGCTTCAGCTGCCAAAGAAGCCAGTGTACTCATAGGTTGCATCAATAGAGGGACAGCATCAAGATCACAAGAAATGGTAGTACTGTTTTAAACTGCAGTAGTAAAGCACATTTACAATATTGTGTCCAGTTCTGGTCACATGAGGCAAAAAAGATACTGAGACCATAGAAAAAGTGCAGAGAAGAGCAACAAAGATAGGCTAACTATACAATGAACAGTTAATGGAACTGGATATATCTAGCCTAACAAAGGAAAGGATTAGGGATGACCTGATAGCTATTTTTCTATACTTGAGGGGCTATCCTAGAGAAAAGGAGGTCTTTTATAAAACACCTGAGGGCAGGACAAGAAGCAATGGGAGGAAGCTTGTTAAAGACAGGTCCTAGAATAGGGAAAAATTAACCATGGAACAGCTTGCTTTTTGGAGTTGTGGGTATTCCATCAATAGAGATTTTTTTAAAAAAGAAAGACTGGGCATCCATTTGTCCAGGATGATATATGACTCTTACTTTGAACAGGGGAGTGGACTAAAAGACCTCCAATGTCCCTTCCAGTCTATAACTCTATGATGTCAAATGTATAATTTATTCTTTTTTTACTTTTCTCCACACAGACCAAAGCCTTTGAACTAAGCTACCTTGAGAAAGTGCCTGAAGTCAAAGACACAGTCCATAAACAATCTCTTCTTCATCATGTATGCACAATAGTGGTGGAAACATTTCCAGATAGCACAGATCTTTATTCTGAAATTGGAGCTGTCACTAGATCAGCCAAGGTATGTCAATTAATGCAAAGAAATCTCTAATAGTAGGGTATAGTCATAAGGAATAGATAATACTTTACATGCAATATTTTCATTTTGCTGTTTTATCCTTTATCCAAATAGTCCTTACAAACTTAGAATTGCTTTACATCATTAATCTGTAATTTTTTTTCAATTATAGCAGTTTTCCCTTTTCTCTTTAATAGATTTCTCATGGATTTTAAATATATAGTCTATTCTTTTAATCTCAAACTGTTTCAAAATTTAATGTTAATAAATTTTCAGTTCTAAACTGAATCAACAATCTGTTGGATCTGTTCAAAATAAAATGAAAACAGAAAGCAAAAAGAAAATGGTTAACAAGTTTATGAAGATGGCGAAAGGCAAAAAGGAAGAAACAAAATCACCCAATTCTTTTGTCTCAATCTTCTTTAGAAAAGTAAATATACAGTACTTATGTAAGCGATTGTGGTGGCCTGCTTGAAGAAATAAGATCTCCAGATTGAACTTGAAAGGGAATATCACTAATTTTGATTTATTTAAAATAGCAACCAGGGTTCTAGGAAAATGTATAGATAGTTTGGCCAATCCTCTGTCTTAGAGCCTAGAAATCCTGAAGAATAAATAATTTGTTCTCATTTTTTCTATTACTTATTTTTTTTCTAATCACCAAAACTATAAAAAAAAATCTGCTTTGGGCAAAAATTAATAAGGGATTCCCAATCAGCAAACAGAATAACAGGGTTGGAAGGGACCTTGGAGGTCTTCTAGTCCAACTCCCTGCTCAGGTAGGAAACCCTATCCTGTTTCAGACAAATGGTTATCCAATCTCTTCCTCCACAACTTCTGGAGGAAAGTTGTTCTGCTGATTAATTGTTCTAAATGTCAATAAATTTCTCCTTACTTCTAGATTGCTTCTCTCCTTGATTAATTTTCATCCATTACTTCTTGTCCTGCCATCAGGTGCTTTGGAGAATAGGTTGACTCCCTTTTTTATGCAACTCCTATTTTGAAACATTGCTATCATGTCACCTCTAGTCCTTCTTTTCAATAAACTAGACATATCCAATTCCAGCAACTGTTCTTTATATGTTTTAGACTATAGTCCCCTAATCATCTTTGTTGCTCTTCTCTGTACGCTTTCTAGAGGCTGAACATCTTTTTTACATCATGGAGACCAAAAGATATCCTTTTTCTAATCAAAGAAGTCAATTTGTCCACCTCAGTTCAATCATCTTTATCATCTATTCCTCCATTGCGGGTAGCATCAGATCTTTCCACCTTTGTGCATATAAAAATCTCACTGCAGTTGTCTCATATTAAAATGCAGTAGTAAAAGTAGTGAAGTAGAAGTCTTGACTTCTTCCTTCACAAATGCACCAAAATATCCCTTGCAACATGTCTTGTTCTTGCAAATCTTGAATTTATTACATAAACTTTATCTGTTTCTGTCTCTACCGCCTTCTCACAATCCAATCGTTTGTTTTGAAAGTTTACCAATTATCTAAAGTCTTTAGAATAAACAAAACAAAACAAAAAATTGGACCACAGTCCAATTTACTTGCCTAATTAAATTACAGTTTATTGCATTGAGCTTTCATTAAAATAAACTTTTAAAATAACGATCTGCTTGTCCACTTCAAATTTTCTTACATCATCTCCTTATATTCTTACAAGAATATAAGAAATGTTTACCAAAAAATATTTAATTTTATTTATCTATCATCTATCTATCTATCTATCTATCTATCTATCTATCTATCTATCTATCTATCTATCTATCTATCTAT